AAATGATAAAATTTCACTAGGGACCAGAAATTATAGATAGTGTGATAATAAAAAGAATGCATCAGGAAGATACAACAAAGTTGGCAAAAGTTTAACTTATTCAAAAGCATATAAGATAGAGAAAATTTCAATTTGTCGGAAACATACGTTCCCAATTCATTGGTAGTTCACTAAATACCCGTAACTGTTAGAAGTGTATTTGCGCAAGAAGAATATTGACAATAGGTAAAGTAGATAGTAAATTTTAGTTTGAGCATAGTTCTCCAGCTAAGCTACGCCGTAAAGACTGTAGAAAGTTTTCTCTTCCAATTTAAGTGAATTCTTAGAATATAACATTTAAAAACATTGCGCTTGTTTGGTTTTCTTCAGAAGTTCCTTAACTAATTTGGATCGGAACTCAATTTTAAATATGTATGGTTTAGAAAATCGTTCAATTGGATTAAATATAAAAAAAACTACAACTGATATATTTTTATTATTCTGGGCAAATTAAATTATCTCTTACAGTAATAAAACTTATGAGAAACGTGCAATAATAATGAAATTATTACTTAAATAAGTTCACTTTTAATTAAGTCAGTTGAGCCGCAAATTTTATTTCAAATAATTTATTTATATAATCATGACTTTTCTGTCGTAAATATGACGTTTATATGATATATCAATTCTCGTGAAATTATTGTGAAAAGTATTTTTACCCAATGGAAATAGACTATACTTTTATCGAATGATTGTCGAAGGCTTTCTCTTATTGAAAAAATATGTTTATACTGTAAGGCGTTTTGTTAGAGTGGTTTAGTATGTACTTCCTATTTTGGGCCGTTGTAACCGTCAATCGCTTCAAATGATATATGGCACTTCTTCGTGAACCCGTCTACGATAATATGGATATTGTTCTTGCTAAACTTTTCATATTCTACATTGCTAAACTTTTCAACACCACATCTTTCATGATTAAGTTGACCAATTATTTTATAAAGACTAAAGTATTTTTTCAATCTAAAGCCGACTTAAGCTGCCCCGGCTAAGAATGCGAAAAATTTGTCTTCCAATATCTAAGCTTTCTATTATAAATTATTCAAGTATCTTATCTTTAAGTCAGATTGTATTTTAATTCGCATATCGATTTCAATTAAGACTTTAAATACTGACACATTTGTACTTCTTGGCGGCGTGTTATTTACACATTGCATTACTCTGTCAATGTGTTTGTACCATCGATGAGGCTAACCAATGCACAATTTACTCAGCGAAGTTGAGACTATTTTTAATATTTTATTAATTCTCTTAACTCGCCCATTGCCTCTATAAACATCTGTGGAGATTATATAAAGTGCTGTAGTTTAATCTTTACAATATTTTTTGAAAGCCACTCCTTTATTGAACACGTCTCTTTCGGCATTTATCAATCACTTCATGAGAACCACAGCTGCGAGAAGGGTATAGCTAAACAAATATGAAAAAGCATATGCAGTTACAAACATGTTGATATAACGCTTTCGCGTTTGCTTCATCGGTCTTATACGATCAGCATTACATGTTCACGAAGATTTATTTGCCGTATCTGTTGGATTCAATATTTGCGTGTTTTTAGCACTTTTAGCTTGACACGACAGTTTATGCAACTCCACTTTCTTTGTTACATTAGATATATAAAATGTTTTTTCGATTAAATCTTCCGTTTTTTTTTTGTGGAAAAATTATCTTGAATTGATGATAAGATAATTGGATTATCTCTTGCCAGTCAGCGGTACTGCGATATTTTGTATATTTCATATAAACAACTTCCTGCTATTTTCCTTGTTGTTCCCACCCAGTCGTCTAATTTTTGAAACCGTATTATACTTTGATGTCCCAAAGAATCTTTGATTAATAAAAAAGATGCTCGATTAAAATCACGAATATGTCGCAATTTGCTGCCCGATCTGTGTTCAATAGTGGAATGAAATTCCTAAAAAAAAATAGTCCATCTTGAAACTCTTAACGGTATGTCTTTCTCTTTAATTGTCATTGCAGAGGCATTGCAATCTCTATTTTATTTTTATTTTAATCCAGTTTGCATAAGCTCGCCACTTCTTTAAAGCCTCAATAATGGCAAGGATTCCTAATGCGAGTGGACGATGTTTTTGTTTGATTAAACTTATCTTTCGACTCATACGCTCAACAGAAAGTAATTGTTGATCGCCTGAACCCTTCTATAGTTCAATATCCATAAATACTCGCATGTATTTCAGTCAATGCATTAGGATTATAACTATAAAACTCGAACACTAATAACTCATTATTTGCTACTTTAAACGTGTTGTTTTTACATGACTTGTCCGACTATCCGCTCGCTTTGATGGCTTAATTAATGCGAAATAAGATAAAAGACCAAAAAATGATTTGGCACCAGAAAATTTTCAGATGCAGCGGCGGTCATTTCCATTGACCGTGTAATCAAGCATTTTCTACAACGTATCCTGAACATGTTATCTTCCTCCTTAAGAACTGACATTTTTTTCATTTAATTTGTTAATTATGCTTTTTCCCACTTTAAACAATCTTTTTAATTTTCCAATGTTCTGTTGTGCAGTTAATGAAGATATATGGATGTAATCCACGTGGCTTAGTATTGTATTATATTGAAACAAACATTCCTTAAGTCTAATTTTGTATACACTTTGCTTGATTGTGATTTATGTATGACATCATATATTAACCCGATAAACAGCTGTCTCGTAAAATTTTCTCGTTCAGTTTACCACAGCGAAGCCTCCTGGTACCATCCTGTTTCGACTCTAGTATAATTGGTGAGGTATAAGCGGAATTACAGAGTTGCGTGATCACTTTCTCTAACCACTTCTTTATTTGCTTTTCAACAGTTTTTTGTCGTCGCTTGGTAGGCGCCTAGGTCCTTGATAAGTGGGTGCATTATCCGAAAGGGTTATGTTCATGCGAATTTCTTTGGCTTATCATTCTCAATCATACATTCCACGGCTTTTGCTGTACCATTCTGCAAGCGAAATATGTCACATTCACATATTGACTGCGGAGGCGGTATCACAGGAACAAATATGTTATTATTTCCGAAATGTGTATAATGGTTGTTGTTTCCGCTGCAGGCTCATGTATTTCTTTTTCGACTTTTCCAGCGCCTTCACCTTCAGCCTGTTTTTGGTAGTGTGTTTTTTCTTCACTTTCGGCTGCTTGTGCACGTCGGTTCTCAGTGTCCATTTCCGAAATTCCCTTCTTGTTGATGTTATAATAAAAATTCAAGCATTTCCTGCACACTGACCACTTACTTCATTTATTTATTTAAAATTCAGAATTAATGAATATGCGGAGCTATAAGCCGGCTTATATGAAACTTTGACTGGAGTCGTATTAGGAAGGTAAATAAATAAGGCGCAAATGACATCCAATTTCAGTCTTGAAAATATGATTGAATGCATATTAGTAAAGCCGCCTTTAAATTCACAATAAAATCATTGTTAAGACGCGTTCAAATACACTAAATTTCTTGAAATGTAACGTTGTCTTGAACTCTTTATTTATTCTGGAGAAGAAAATTTATCTTGATGCGCTGAAAGCCTCCAAGGAACATAGAAAAAGCAAAGTTTTTTATTCTTTAAACTTTCCTGCATAATAATCTTCTTTTTCTATGTCATTTTCTACTGCATATTATATCTTCAATTTAGTCATAATAGTAATATCGACTGTTATGTTCATATATTTGTGTTTCTTGCAGCAACCTCTTCAACATTGTAAAATGTTCTTTAGAAAATACGCCATTTTCATGTAAATGAACGTGGAAATTGAAAATGTTATCTTTCTCTAACTATCGTTTCAACTCCAGTATACATATTCGTATAAATACATGCGGATATTGAATGTTTCTTAGGCGAAGCAAAAACAGCAGCATGAGTGTTTCCACCCCTCTATTTAAATCTATATTCTATATATGACAAATAAAGTCATCACAAAAAGATTTTATGTAACAATGTGAGAATGTGATATAAGATTGAAAAATAAATAAAAAAGAAAACTTTATGTCATCAGCAGTTCAATGATTATCGTGTCGAAATACACATACAATCAGGCTCTAAAAAATACATATATATCGGTTTGTTCGATAAGCCATAAAACAGTTTGCCAGAAGATAAACGCGACTCACTTTGTAGCTAAGCCGATTCTAAATTTTAACAAATTGAAAGATGTGCATACTTAAAGGTTGCAAATCTAGCAAACTTCCATATCGAGTGTAAAAATGAAAATTTAAATCAGGTTTGAAGAACTTGCCAGCACGTTAATGATAAGTGCTTGACCAAAGAATCGTTTGCTTGAGGACGGTATAGAAAAAACCACATCATTGACACATGTAACTTTGGAAAAACATTCACTTTGAATTGCTTTCTGTTTCGTGTAATGATTTACTCGCCCAGTATAATTCAATACATTTTTGTAATAAGTTAAAGTATATGTAATTGAATAATAAAGTAGAAAATTTTTCAAGGACGTACATTTATCCAAAAACCAGTAGCCTACATTCATTTACGACTAATCTTACCGATATCAGCGCCAAATGGAAGTTGTTGTCGATAGTTCATTGAAATAGTCTGCAGAAGTTCAGATAAATATCTAAGTTTATCGAAAACATTATTTAGCTTACTGAAATTACGCATTACGTAACTTATGCAGCTCACACATTTTAGCTCAATTTAAGATTTTGAAATGAACAAGCGTCCTTTTCCTACGCTTGGCCTTTCTATAAGCGCGACAAGAGACATTTTGCTTACACCTTCTTTCACTACCGTAATAATTCTATTCTCTTTATCGTTCGCATCCTATAATGATGTGAAGTCGGGAGAGTAATAATTTTCACTACAAGTACAATGTCTGAAAAATACAACATATTCGCTATGTGGCAAATGTAAAAAGAATATCAAAGTTTTAAATTTTATTCAATCACATAACAAAATATTAGTACAGAAAAAATTATTTAGCTTTGGCTTACTTACAAAACACATTTAATTTCATGGCTGTTTCGCGTACACCATTCCGTACTAGCTCGTTTGTAGCTCTACATGATAATGCTTTGCCGTGGTCTTCTCTAGTCGGTGTTATCATTAGCAGTGATATACTAACGTTGCCATCTTCAGAAACCTGTCAAGGAAAGGTCAAAAATAATATAAAAAATTTTGTTAGAAAGTATTGCAGTAATTCGCGTCGGATTTAAAACCAACTTTAAATTTTTACACTTTTCTGAAGGATAGTGTTCATTTTCTAGGACCATGTGAAAGGCTTATAAGTTTTCAAACTCCTTCTTCCCCAAAGCGGATGTTGCTGCGCTCAAAATAAAATTATGTGGCTTCTTCTTTGGGCTCTGGCTTTGGGCTTCTTCCATAAAACCAAATAATTTGCCATTCGAATAATTGCTCACATAGTAAGAAAATCTTGTGGGATAAGTACGATGAAAGGTGGCGATTGCTGGAAAAAATACCCTTCTAACTTGTAATTTAATTTAGGTGTCCTAAAACGAGGCACATGACGACGATTTAAATGAAAGCATTTGATATTTGTTAAGCTGCGAGATCCACCTTTCATTTCTTTTTTAAGCTGATATAAGATAAAATGGTGAAAGGTAATAAAATCTTTTGAAAGCTTATATCGGGCCGCTAATCATTTATGTAACTGTCAACTGATAATATGTGTGAGCTGAGCATATTATACAGGCCTCTAATATCTATGCAAATTGAGCACAAACTTTTGCAATTATTCACCAACGGGAATTTTCACTTATTGTAAATAATTAAATAGATAGAAACTATTTTAACAGATTTTTGTTTTGCTACTATTTCTAAAATTTTTTCTACGCTAGTAGTTAAAAAAGCACTTGCCCGTAGGACTTGATTTGCAAGGTTTAGCTCAAACGAATGCCCAATTAAAACTTAAATAAACGCAAATTAATAAAAATTTTTATGAGTACATACGTATGCATAAGCGCATGTGCTGTACCTTTTGACTGTGACCATGCAATTCCAGGTTGCCCATCCACCATGTGATTTTAGCAGGTGGTCGTGAGCCAATTGCCTGACATTCAATTTCATATTTACGGTCAGCTGACATGGGTTGATTGTTAAATGAAATCTCCACCAATAAAGGACGTACTGAAAATATAAATTCATTTTATAATAAAAACTAAAACGCAATAACTTACTACATAAATATGAAAATATAAATAATACAAATATATATATGAACACATGTATGCGAAAGTGAACATATTTTTTTTTAAAAATTCCATAACATGAAATTAGTAGCACATCGATGCAGCCACTAAGTGAAATTATGGTATAAAAAAATTATCATAACCATAAAAATGTCCTTAAAAGTTAGTTTTTTTAAATAAGTTTGTTATATCATATATCATGTTGGAGAAGAAGATGACGCGCACCTCATATTGTAAGAACAGTATAGATAGCATGCAAAAGAATTTTTGAATCAATATACAATGCAACATATATATATATACATATATATGTATTTATAAACAGTTAGATATTGTTATTAAGTTTGATGGCAGTAGGTTGGCGTGCGTCAAGGGTAGGACGAATAGTTAGAAGGCATTGCTATCCCATAAACTATTTGATGTTTACTCCTGTAAGTCTACGATATCTAACGCTCTTAACGTTACTTCATTCTCCGTTGCTTTTTTGAAATCGTATCGAGACATTTGCGGGACTTTTCTTCCAAGTGCAACCTCTCTCAAAGTCTCTTATTCATTCCTGGAAGAAAGATTCCTTCGACAGCGCATGCACATTAAAATAATTTTTTTTATATTTCGACGTATGGGTTTTGTTTGGCCAGATATATTTTGGTCGCGACAATCCTGTATGGTTGGCTATAATAATGATTTGACTCGTGGGTTTCAAAATAAGCCTGTGCAAATTATGGCACAAAACGTAAGAAATACCGCGAACACAAAAGTGATACGTTATAGAGTCAACGAAAAGCGAATATATCAATGCCATCGCGATATTGATTGAACAGGATAGAACTGCAAGCATCACATACGCTGAAAAGAATCAAGCTATTGAGAACTAAGTTCCACGACGAGCACATTTATTAAAAAACTTTAACTGCTTTCAAGCAATTAATATAATGAACAAGGAAGTAATAACAACCAAATTTTGCCTATCAAGAGGAGCAACCAAAGTCGAATATAATTTCTTCGTTGCTTTTATTTTTCTTAACTTTTTTTTCAAAATGTCATTTCATAGTTAGCTTCTTTAATTTTTAGAGGCTCAATTCATAATGATTTTCTGGGATGATCCACGAGAGCTTAGAATCTTCGCATTAGTCGGTAGTAACCAACGTGTTGCCTAATTTGTCTACCTATATTGTAACGTTATGTCGCAGCTGGGATTATTTTTTTCTTTTAACCTGCCTCGCCCAGTTGAAATGTTACAACAAAAATAAGTGAAAATATAGGACAAGTGAATATGAACTCATATCTGCATTGGTATGCTCCTTTTTGCCTCATCGTCTGTTTTTTTTTCTTTAGCTATCCCATGTCCGTTAGCTCTGCTTGTCAAGACAGCTATTATTTTTTTAATACATACATACATACTCACAAATGTGCATTCCCCACACTCCCGTCACTATATCATCGCACATTCCTGTTTAACACATCATTCTCCCTTTTTCTCTCTGATCTAAAGGAATACTTACAACATTGACGTCTCATCCATTAGACTGCCTATAATATGTCGAGTTGTTTCTTCCTTCCTTCGTTATTCGGCCATCGTCAAAAAACTTCCCCCAATACTGCTTACGCCCCTTAAAGGAACAACTATTTTCATCTCCCCATTATTTCCAATCAACACATTTTAGATTACATACAAAATAAAATTATTTTTAAAAACTGTCTTAAGTTTCTTGTTCGTATTCTCCGTTGATTTACAAGAAATCCTTGTATGTCTCTAGGAAAAATGTTGAATTAGAGTCAATAATTGTGTAATGATTTGAAAATTATTTCTCTTTTACAATTCTACTAAAGTAATTAAAGCTTCCAAGCGTTATTTGTTTGTATACTTTTCAATATAATCGACTTAGTTTGTTAAAGCTTTTTTTGTTGCTTTCTTTGTTCAAATTACTACATAGAGGCTTTAGTCAAAGTCAATTTTAAGACACTAAAACTTCTCTTTTTTTATTCTTTTAGCTAATATTCAACTAGATAATATTTTTATTAATCATATATTTACATATATTATTTCAGATCGATTCTCACGACAAGAGAAATTCAGGTATAATTTTACGCTAAGATATTTCCGCAGCCATCACTCCCAGTTTCAGATTCCGATTGACTTTGATCGTTGCATAAATTTCCTTTTTTGGTTGTTTTGTTGTGTCATTATGTGTCTATATTTGTCTACGGCTCAGTGAGTATGGGTTCTTGTAGAGCAAATCAGTTGCATTAAGCAAAACCCGCCCTTATATTATACAGACGGACTTTGGACTTTTTCTCTTTTATTTATAATTCTGCGCTTATATTTTAATTATTACACTATGGAATTATAAAAATAAGTAAAGCACACCAGCCGTTTTTCGCAATTTCATGATTTGTTGCTCCATCACCAAAGAACAATGGCAAAAGCAGATGGACAAAAGTTCCCGACACCTATCTAAGCGGAAGTACACAACATATACTTATCCGATTGTTGAGTTTTCTTTTTTATTTTCGACGATGGAATCTTTCAATCTTTGTCCATTATCGAGCCGTCTTGTTCCCCTGTCTCTGATGATGTGACGTTATTCGCCCGCTCGATTATGTGCTTGCCACTCCATTGACGCAAATATTCAGTAAATGTCTGACAGTCGCTTTCCTTAAGTTCGAATGTAAGCCGGCTTGCTCAAATCTCTTAGAATTTTATGCCAATATTTAATAACTTTTCCTTTAGCAAAAGCGAAATGGACGATATCTCCATTAATTTGCTTAAAGCTTTGCTATGCAAATTGCAATCAGAAATGAGATTACTTCAGAAGTGCGCCACGAAAAACTTTTCCATTTCGCACAAGTTTTAATCTATGTCGGATCGTCAAAGTATATAATGTTCGCAACACACGGTAAAACCTTTCGTGTTCTAGCTCAATTAATGATGTTGAGATCTTTCAATCCAATTGAATTGGTGTATAAAATAAATGGGATAGTGGCAAATGAGTGCAAGGAAGTGTTGTCAACACTTGTTTCATGGATATTCCTTCGAATGTTCACTTTATTTTGTGGATAATCACAGTAAAAAGATAGTTACTAGTCTGAATAGTTTGAGAGTGATCCTATATTCAAAATTAAGATTTAATTCACGTATAGAGTAAACAATTTTTATTAAAAAAAAAGGTTAAAGTAAAGTAATCATCTATTAAGCAGTTATATATTGCTCTTATTACACTATTATTGGAACATTGGTTTGTGGTCTGCACACTTAGCTGGAAACCGTAGGTACACTTTTATGGAATTTTAAACTTTTCGTGGCGTAGGGTAAGCAGATAGCAATGTTTCCTCAGAAAAAGTTACCACTCAGTGACTAGTTCATATTAAAAAAGGACGCAAAATGTTGGGAGCGTTATTTATTGTAAAATTAATTAAAGGTAACATTTCTCATCTTATTTTGCTTCAAAGAATATACATTATTACACTTGTTAGATTTAAAAGACGTTGTGAACTTATTTGCCGTTGACTTTTGTAATAAATGCGATATGATAATTTTCGATCGAACTCTCGGTTAAGATTGTCAAGGATCCTATAATCTAAGTTAATCTCTAGGTGTCTCTAACTACTGTAGATAGCTTACAAATTATATAATAAGTCTTTTAATGCTTGACTGGGACCGCTTTCATATAGTATTAGGTCTCTATAGTTAGCATACAGAATTCAAAATTTTACCTGCATGATCTCATAATAATTGATAGTTGCCCTTATGCTCCTTAAAATAATCCACAACAACTTTATTTACAAAATTCAATAAACTTACTTTTATCGAAAAATAATTACTTGCAGCAAAGCTTACTGTAGCAATGTTACCTCTTTCACGCTAAAGCTACGGACGTTTTGTGTGTATCTATTCCTACCAAAGTGAGTCAACTGAGATATGCGCTCATAATCAACTATTTAACCATTAATTATGGACGGCTTGATAAGCCCATTAAAATCATTTTTGAACCGAACACATGTATGATTTCGATGAATATCATCAGCATAGTAGGATTACGGCATTGTGTTTGCGGAACTCTGGATCATAGAGAAAGGAGAGAAAAAGTTGTTTTCAAGTTCAGTTCAGTTCATGGTCTATCCAGTGCGTGACCTATGTGTGGCCAGTTCGTATTCATGTTTTAACCCACTCATCTTCGTGTTATTTTCTGCCTTAATTTTTGTGGATACAGAAATCTGTCGAAGAAAGTGCGTCACTTAACTATACGCCCTCGATGTTTCGACAGCTATCCGCATGGGGAAAAACAGGTATTTGATGATGTCTTTTTTTTATGAATAAAAGTCATCAGAGAATTGCGAAAAATTACGCGCTTTGTAACCATTTTTTTTTTTTTTTGTTTAACTCTCAAAAGTTCTAATGAGTCAAAGCGACTTGTTCGGTAATTCTACTGTTAGAAGCATTAAATTCTTTGTTTCTCTCCTCAACGATGTACTAACTTGGGTTGCGAAATTCTTTCCTTATAAGCCTTTTATAACAAGTCCCAAGTATTATATTTTATTCTTATCTTTTTGATAATCGTCTTACGTATCCAGCAAAATTCGTCTTGTATTCGTTATGAGTGAATTTTTATAAATACCTTCAGACATTGGATTTCAACTGTTATCCTTTGCCACAGAACTTTTGTTAAGCCTCAGCTACACAATGCACCTTTATTCTACGGCACCACCGACGAACCATCACCAAGTTTTATTTGCTCTTATTCCTTTCTTATTGTGGAAAATTCGACAGAGCTGAAGGTTTTTATATATGCAATCACTTTCTCTAGTAAGTGATTTTCGTAGCAATGCATTAGTATTTAATTTGCAAGTAAGCGTTAAATCTTCGACAAGGATGATCCACTACACTAACACTTACTGGGAAAATTTGAAATTGTTAGGGTACCATGTCATTATTGTATC